GGCCACTGTGTGAGACGGGAGGCTGGACTGGTCTGATCCAGCAGGGCTCTTCTGATGTTCTTATCAGGGAAAGGCCTCAGCCTCTGTGCCCTGTTGCTGGCCCTCCAGAAGAACTGGCTGGCCACTGTATGAGAGAGGATGCTGGACTAGATGGTCCACTGGTCTGAGCCAGCAGGGCTCTTCAGATGTTCACATGCTCATCTCAGTGAAGCATGGGTTGCTGTGGCACCTCTCGGACTGTTTGGGTGCGGAGAGAGAGGAGGTAGCTATACTTCTTAAAAAATGGAAGCAGCCAAGGTCCTCCTGATCTCATGGGTGGGCTATCAGAATGCAGTGGTGGCTTTTGCTGAACAAGGCTGAAGATCTGACCTGGGGCTCTCTTTCGGCTCTGCTCCTGCAGCGTGCAGGGGGTTGGACTCGATCGCCTGCAAGGTCCCTTCCAGCTCTTAACATTCCATGATTCTATTCTATGAAACTAGGGTAACAGTGGAATCTGCTGCCTAGGGAGGTGGTGGTGAGCTCCCCTCTCGCTGGCCGTCTTTAAGCAGCGGCCGGACAGACACTTGTCAGGGATGTTCTGTGGTGATCCTGCACTGAGCAGGGGGTTGGAGTAGATGGCCTGTGTGGCTCCTGTGATTCTATGATTCTATGAAACGGTAACACAAAGCTTGCATTTGCGCTAATGGAGAATGGTACAATGCCTGTAATACCTGGGGAGTGGCGGTGTAGTTTTTTCAGTCTATCAGTCTTCGTGTTTGGGGTGAGGGGAACAGAAAGACGTGCTACCAAGGAAGGGCAGTGCAGGTTAAAATTCTAGCAAGCAGCCGGGATATGCATCGTTCTGGCTGGTTTGGTCAAAGGGGAAAATTTACTCCTCTTGATTTGAGTGGAAAATGTTGCACTGTGTTTACCCTGCGTCAGGGTTTTTTGTTTTTTTTTAAGGGTATCTTTATATGTTTAGTAGACAAAAATGCTTGTGACCAAAGGGAGTGCTAGCCCTGATGTGAAAAATTCTGTGGCAACCAGTCCTGTGAAGTACCAGGCATGCCCATAGGAGAGCCAGTTTGGTGTAGTGGTTAAGTGCGCGGACTCTCATCTGGGAGAACCTGGTTTGATTCCCCACTCCTCCACTTGCACCTGGCTGGATGGCCGTAGTTCATCCCTTAAAAGGGTTTCAGATGTGGGTTGTTGCACTTCTGATGTAGATGCGTCTCGTAGTATTCCCAACTGTGTGCTTGGGGATTTTAATTAAATTGTACCTGTTGGATTCGAAAGTGTGAAGATCGCATCAGTTGCTGTTAGACCACAGATGTGCTTGGTCATTGTGCAGCAAAATAACTCTTGGATCTTTTACTTTTGAAATTGGCCGAGAACAAAACTCGGGGTCCTTCAATGTCTGAAACAGAATGTTCTTTAAGCTCACACACTGGGACAGTTTAGCTCTTGACTCTTTTGCGTTTGCAAAGATTGAAGCATGGGGATATGATTGCTCACACAGGGAAGGAGGGCTGCCTTGTGAGTTGCTTGCCTCTTGTTAAAGATGGCAGCTCTTTCCTTTCTGGATAACACTTTGTAATTTCTTCATGAGTAGTTGAACAAGCCAGGAATTCAGCAAAGGACTCTGTGGAGCAAAGAAAGTTTTGAAATTTGTTGTATAATAAAGTTTATTGAAATTTTGGCAATAATAACATTGTAAACTCATCAATATTCAATATGCAAGAGCAATACAAAAACAGAGTAGTAAACCAACAAGATATTGTGTACTCTGAGGTTCAATACAACAAATACCTTATTTAAAGAATAATAAAATAAATAAATAAATAAAAAGAAAAGGCACCATCCATAAATTAAACACAGACATGACATATAAGAGCGAACACAGTAGTAGCAATCAAGATCACATTGCACAACATTACCACAACCATAGATCGTCCATTACTTTGGGAGTGTCTTGTTGAGCGGCAAGGTATGCCAAAATAGGAAACCAAGTTGGAACAAAGGTAGAAGTGATAGGGAACTTATCAAAATGCATAAGATTATCCGAGAGTTTTGCCATGATATATATATTCCACAACTTTTTATGCCATTATGAAAGCGTGGGTGCCATCATCGTTTTCCAGTACGTGGCAGTGACAATTTTGGCTGCAAAAAGCATCCTAGAGACCCTTTCTATTTCAGAAACTGAGGCAGAGTTATCAGCCCATCCATTCAAAAACAGATCTTCTGGTGTGGGAGAAATGTCTATGGGTACGATTGATTTGATTCAGAACAGCAATCCAGAAAGGAAGGATTTCGGGGCAAAAGACCAAGCAATGCAAATAATTCCCCACCTCGCCACATTTTTTCCAGCACTTTGGGCTATATGAAGGGTTTAGGTGGGTTAGTTGATGTGGTGTGAGATGCCAGTGTGCCAGTATTTTGAAGGATTGAAGCTTAACAGCTGTTATTTTAGAGTGGCATGGAGAGGAGGACCAGGTTTGGTTCCAAGAATCTTCTGATAGGACGTGTATACACTCTTTAAGCCATAGATCCTGATAAGTCAGAGGTACAGAGCTTTCCAGCATCTTGATGGGAAGTCTCATGTCAGCAGCTCCCTTCTTTCCAAGGAAGGATTAGAAATGCCAATCCAGCTGGCGAGCGAAAATTCAAACCCACGTCCCTTTTTAAAAAGCTTCTGAAGTTCTGATTTCCCCCTTTTCCCGCAGTGCACAAATGGCCACTTGATGTGTGCTGGGTGTTTCATCCACCTGCTGGCAGACGCCCGGCTGAAGGAGGAGCAGGCGACGTGTCCCAATTGCCGCTGCGAGATCAGCAAGAGCCTGTGCTGCCGGAACCTGGCCGTGGAGAAAGCGGTGAGCGAGCTGCCGTCAGAGTGTGGCTTTTGCATGCGGCAGTTCCCCCGCTCCCTGCTGGAGAGACACCAGAAAGAAGAATGCCAGGACAGGTAAACACTCCCTCTTGAGGTGCCGCTTTTGGCTCTGAGACCATCTTCTGTGACTTGCCATCACGCTGGTGGGGTGGGCCGGGCAGGCCTGGGGAGCATTGTAGGGGACCGTGCTCGTACCCCCCGAGAGGGTCCCTTGGCGCACCGACTTAGGTGGGATTCTGGTTGCTCCAATCCACCATTGCTCTTTAATCTACCTTCTATCCACACTGTGTCAATGGCTGTCACCACTAACAAGGTTAAAGAGGAATAGGACCTTAAGTATTATGGGGGGGGGGGATAAAGAAGCCAGGCTAGCGGTGACGAGGGCCAGGGCCTTCTCTGTGGCGGCCCCGTACTGGTGGAATGAGCTTCCCGGATGACATCAGGGCCCTGCGGGACCTTCTACAGTTCCGCAGGGCCTGTAAAACAGAGCTCTTCCGCCAGGCTTTCAATTAGGGGCTGCCACCTCCTAGTGTAATGGCCCTGGCCCCTAATGTCAGCACCAATTAATACCCAATAGCCTAGCGGGAACCCAGACTGTGCTGGTAGCTGACCGTCTGGATGCTGAGAGCATACCGCCATCACTCATTAGCACTTACTGACGTCTATGTTACTGTCACCTATGATGTTATATGTTGTGGTTTTATTTATTTAAATATTGTGTTTTAACTGCCATTTGTGTGTGTGTGTGTATAAAAAAACCTGTATGTGTGTGTGTATACACACACACACACACACACACATATATAAACCTGTAAGCTGCCCTGAGCCTGCCCAGGCAGGGAGGGCAGGATATAAATTAAACAAACAACAAGAAGAGAAGAGATTGGATTTATGCCCCGCCCTTCACTACCCGAAGGTGTCTCAGGGCGGCTTACAAACTCCTTTCCCTTCCCCTCCCCACAACAGACACCCTGTGAGGGAGGTGGGGCTGAGAGAGCTCTCGACAGAAACTGTTCTTTTTCAAGGACAGCTCTTGTCAGAACTACGGCTTGCCCAAGGCCATCCAGCCAGGTGCAAGTGGAGGAGAGGGGAAACCAACCCGGTTCTCCCAGATTAGAGTCCGCGCACTTAACCACGACACCAAACAAATAAATAATAACATTGGAATATCAGTTTTTCCCATCATGAGCCACCCATTCCCCTAAAGGGGACAGCAGGGTCTTTCTCAGAAACACAGCCAAAAGGTTTGAGTTGCTAACAAAACTTGCCCTGTCTAATGCAGCACAGCAAACTTGCTTGCCATCAAGGGGACAAGCTTTAGCAGTGTTTGGGATCCTGTGCTTCTCCGCTTTCTTTGTGGGAATAAGCCACAGTCTGTCACGGCATTCAGGTTGGATGAAACCGGGATTCCAACCCATCATTTAACCTTGGTTTGGCGTCCTGCTTCCTAGGTGAGAAAACAAACCACAGTTGGTTTGTTGGGCCCAAACCAAGCTGTGTGCAATGACGAGAACGGAGTGCACAGGCCTGTATCCCTGCAGGTCTTGTTCTTGCAACAGCAAACTGGTTGGTGATTACCTCTGAGTAGAGCTGGAGTGTGTGCCGGCCTTGAGAAGTGCGGGGAGCAGAGCTGACCCTGAACAAGAGACTGTGGGTGTGAAACTGACATGTGGCAGAGCCTGCTTTTTAGGTCAAGTTCTCTGGGATATAAGGCAGAGCAGGTCCGGGCTTGTCCCGGTCTGTGCATACTGGTCGTACCTGTACAGCTCTGCCCCTTAGAACTGGATAATTAAAGAGGAAAGGGTGTAATTTCTGTACAAGTCATGTTCATAGCTCAGTTCCAGAAAAGGGTTTGCAAATGTATCTGGACTCGGTATTCCAAATGCAAGCGCACTATACAGGCGCTACGATATGGCACATATTTTTCTCCCAGCTTTCCCCCATTTGTCCTCACGCAGCAGCCTTTGAGAGAATGCAACTAACCCGGGAACACACAGCAAGTTTCCTGACAGAGTGGGGATGGGAACGGGAGAGGGTCTCCAGACCTAGTCCTGCCAAGGCAGTTCTGCTATAAGAATCACGGAACACAGTTGAGTCAAAAGTAATGCCAAATGAAGAAGGAATTAGAACAGCTTCCTTTATAGGAAAGGACTTCTGACGAAGTGCCATAGTTATTCCCAAAAAGGTGTTGGAACATGAGGCTTGTAAAATTATGACTGAAGATGGGTAGCCATGTTAGTCTGTCTGTAGTAGTAAAAAAAGCAAGAGTCCAGGAGCATCTTAAAGACTAACAAAATTTGTGACAGGGGATGAGTTGTTGTGAGTCCCACCTAGAGTTCTCAAGTACCTACCGCGATCCGGCGGGGGACACATGATCCCCGGCTGGAACATTCCTCCCTGTAACGCACCATGCCGTCGCCAGGAAGTGATGCTGGGCGACGCTCTGACAATGGGGCTGAAAACTCGATGGTACCATTGCCGGAGCATCGCCTGTGGCCTCTTGCATCTAAAATGTGTTCCATAATTGCTTCTGGTGTGGCCTGAGTGCCGTTTGCAATCTGAGGAACAGTTTTCCGTGGGCAGAGCAAAGGAGTTGCTGCTTTCGGTCCCCCACAGTGCTGCCGTTTCATGATTGTATGATGGTCACACCCTTGTGCTAGAGGCGCTTGGTGGGAACAAACTTGGATTTCCAAATGCCAGGATTTCTTGTGGCAGTGAATTCCATGTGTTAATCACTCTTTGGGCGAAGAAGGACTTCCGTTTATCTGTTCTAACCTGACTGCTCAGCAATTTCATGGAGTGCCCACAAGTCCCCACCCCCCTGAAGATATTGTTTGCCGGTATTCTCAAAAGGAATTAAAGCAGATCTGATTGTCTAGAAATGTGTACGCAACAGAGACCAGTTTTCCATAGAAGCTACCCCACAGGGTGTTGGGGGTGGTGGTGTACAGATATCGCTGTCCCGACACAATGCCAGATATTTCCCAGATCGGATTGGCAATATCTGTGGAAGTCTTTCCCAGTATCTCCAGAACAATAACAATACTCCTGGTATTGAATGATTATAAATGCCCTTCCTGAGTTTCTGATATGGAATTCAGATGAGTTTTGGGAGCGAGGGCAAGACAGGACACTCTGGGCTGCCCTGGCTCTGCCGTTCGGCACCTTTTTTACTTACAGCAATTTAAGGAAATTGATGAATAGTGTAGACCAATGTTCCCTCCAAGCTGTGGAGTCTTGTGAGCAAAAAATCTACTTTGTGAGCGCCTGGCATTAAAGCTGTGAGTGAGCAATTTGGCTACTGCAGAAATGAATTTGCTCTGGAGCCGTCCTTCCCGAGCTAAGACAAAAAAAGGTGTGAGCCGGAGGCTAAAAAACTGTGAGCTAGCTCACACTAACTCAGCGGGAACACTGGTGTAGTTCATATGTAACTTAACATCAAATAAGGCTCCCAAGTATCCCAATACTTAAACAGTTCTTGTTATTTAAATGTTCTTATTTAAATCTACCATTCAAAACAATTGGTACACAGACAAGTTAAGAAATGGAAGGAAACTTTACTGCCTTATTTGTCTTTATTCACGATGAAAACATGTAGCCTCTGTCGGCATTCTCTCATCTAAGCAAGTAAAGACAAATAAGGCAGCTTGGAGACGTTGTTCTGAGGGAGTTCCCATTGCTGTAAAACAAGGCCGTTTTTGGAGGCACTTCTTTCTGGGAGAACCCATCGACGTGCGGTCCTGATGAAGGGATCGATGACCCATTGGAAATCTGAAGAAAGAGTCGACTGCAGCTCATCATTTAGTGTTTGCCTCAAGTCTTAAGGACTGGATTCACTTGCTTCATAGGCATTTGTGTTTTTCCAGTTTGGAAGTGAGAAGTCTTTTCTCCACTTTGGAACAGTGACGTTTTTTCTGGGATCGTAAAGTTTCCTCCAAGTTCTTAACTTGTCTGCATACCAATCGTTTTGTACAGTAGATTTTAATAAGAACATTTAAATAACATAAGAACATAAGAACATAAGAGATGCCAATGTTGGATCAGGCCAAAGGCCCATCCAGTCCAACACTCTGTATCCCACAGTGGCCAGAAATACCAGTGCCATCAGGAGGTCCACCAGTGGGGCCAGGACATTAGAAGCCCTCCCACTGTTGACCCCCCCCAAGCACCAAGATGACAGAGCATCACTTGCCCCAGAGTCCCTATCTATACCTTGTGGCTAATAGCCACTGATGGACCTCTGCTCCATATGCTTATCTAATTCCCTCTTGAAGCCGTCCATGCTTGTAGCCGCCACCACTTCCTGTGGCAGTGAATTCCAAGTGTTAATCACTCTTTGGGTGAAGAAGTACTTCCTCTTATCCGTTCTAACCCGACCGCTCAGCAATTTCATGGAGTGCCCACGAGTTCTTGTATTGTGAGAAAGGGAGAAAAGTACCTCTTTCTCTACCTGCTCTTTCCCATGCATAATCTTATAAACCTCAATCATGTCATTCTCTTCTCTTCTCTTCTCTTCTCTTCTAGATTTTAATAAGAACATTTAAATAACAAAGAATTGTTTAAGAATTGGAATACTTGGGAGCTTTATTTGTCGTTAAGTTGTATATATTTGGCACCTTAGCATCTATGCTGAGAAGCTGGGGCTGCTCAGAGCCAGCAGTAGAAGAGATGCTCCCTTGGGAGGAAAGGGATGAGGTGTTTGTGGCTCTTCCTCATTGGTTACGAGTGTTCTTGGTGCCCCGCGGTTCGTTGCGTGGTGAACTTCGGTTCTGAGGCCTCTGCGTCGTGCCCATTGAGCATCGCCTTCCTCTTTCGAACTCCAGGGTCACTCGGTGCAAGTACAAGCGGATTGGGTGCCCGTGGCAGGGTCCTTACCACGAGCTGACTGTCCACGAGGCGGAGTGCACGCATCCCACCAAGACTGGGAATGAGCTGATGGAGATCCTGGATGAGATGGACCAAACTCACAAGAAGGAGATGCAGCTGTACAACAGCATCTTCAGCCTGCTGAGCTTCGAGAAGATTGGCTATACAGGTAAATTATGGGGACACGGCCAGGTGGTGTGCCAGAAACATCTGTTGCCATTGAAGTCACATGTTTGTTTTAATTCCTCATCTCTCCCTTTTGCACACCCGGTTTCCGTTGTCTCTCTGATGCAACGTGCAGCGATTGTTCCTCTAGGTCCGAAGAGCCGGGCTGTGCCGAGCAGACAGGGCAGCCGCGCCGGTTGCCCCTCCCATCTGCTTGAGAGTTCAGGTTCAAGAGCGGGATTGGGGTGGCGGGGAGGGGAGGGTCTACAATATCACACATGATGCTCTAGAACTGGGAAGAAAAGAGGCGGGGGGGGGGGAGATTGTGCAGTCACATGGGGAGCTCCCATGATCTGGCCCTCCGGCTGGTCCTCCGGCATTCTTCCTTCTGCTGTTTTGTCCGCTGGGCAGCTTTGATGTCGCGTGGAAGAAGGACAGACCCTTCCTAGCAGAGCAGGTAAGGTGCTGTAGTTGTATTTGATGGGCTGATAGTCGAGGCCACAGACTGAGAATTCAGACCAGCATTGCTGTTTGGGCCTCACACACGCTCTTTGCGAGTCATCTGCTTTGTATTAATGATATACTGAAAAATCCTTTCTTTTCTTGTGGGGGAGAAAAAGCAAGGTAGTGCTCTCAGGTATAGCTCTTCATGAGTCGTTCCTGTGAAAGATGACGTGTTCTGCAGCTTTTGTAGATGGTTCTGTCTCCACTGACCAATGAGCTTGAAGCCATCCATAGTTTTCTTATGTTAGGTATGTTCTGTCCTTGGTTTTCCTCACCTACTACAAAGTGACAACATCTTGTCTCTCCCCCTCTCCCACGCCCTCGTGTGGAAGCAACAAAGCTAAAGTAGTCAGGGTTGTGGAGGAAGAAACAAATCTGTCATTTAACGCAACCGAGGTGGATTACTTTTGCAGGTAAGCCTGTGACCCCATTGGTATGAATCCTGAAGCGGGCTTGGAAATGCCCTCAGCAGAACATGTGGAAAAAAAACACTTAGTGGCTCTGAGTTGATTGAAGTTGGGAGGGAGGAAAGGTAGTGGAAACCACTTTCTGTAGCAGTAAATGTTCGCCTTTCCTGCAGAGAGAAACCGCTTGGATGTAATCTGCTCTCTCCTGTCCTGAATTCTGCGTTTGGCCAAGCGGATGCTGGAGCCCGAAGGGATTGTGGCCAGTCTGAGCTGAGTTAGCGGAGGTGCTTAGCTCTTAGAAAGCAAAGTGGAGTCTGATTGAGCCCGGAGCTCAGGAACACCAGAGCTCAGGTGATGAAGCAAGGTGTTGGCTACCTCCCTGCTGAAAAGTCCACTGCTCCCAGCTGGGCACCCAGTAAAGCAGCTGGAACTGGGCTGGCAGATCCGAATGCCGTGTGAAAGTGGCTCTCTGCCGAGGAGCCAGGGGAGTAGGGTGGCGTGGGGGTTCAGCCTGCACAGGTTGACGGTGGTTGCAGGGGGGCGGCTTTCCCCCTGTCCGGTGTTCTTGAACACCGGGGTGCCTCTGCCTGTGAGAGAAGAGGGCAGAGATCCTCCCTCTGCTCTAAAAAAAAAAAAAGAGTGAGAGAGATGGCCTCTAGCCAGAGAGGCGCTTGCTGCTTGACCCGGAGCAATCAGAAACGCTGAGTCGGGCTGGTTGTGTGGCTTGAATAACTCCGTCGCCTCCTTTGTCCAGGTGTCGCTGCCGTGCCTTCCTTAATGGTCCCCTGGAAGCATCGAAGAATGCAAATATGTACACAGAGGTTCCCAGTCCCAGAACTTGTGCTGTGAGATTCCGTGGGTTTTGTACACCAAAGACTTTAAACAAAAAAACCACACTGAACTGGCCATGTTGATAAACTTGAACAAAACAAAAATACCTCCTTGCACTTTGGACTCTACCGGAGAAGGGTTTTTGACAGATGGACAGTGGACTCTGGTAAAAACATTTGGGTCTAAAAATTGGACAGAGCCTCAAAAATGATTCAGTGTACTGTTCTTTGTCTTTATGTATCTAACCCCAGGATTTTCTGCACTCTGTGAAAAACAAAACACAAAACGTGAAGATATTTTTTTCCCCTTGCCCTGTTTCTTATTTTTGAATTGTGGTGGTACGTAATTGTGCCTTGCGAAATCGCAGATCTGTATTGTTCATGCCAATAAAATAAAAGTGCAATGTTACATGAATTGTATTGTCTGGCTTGGTTTTATGCATCTGTATCTGGGTGTGGACACCGGTAATGTACTCAAAACCAGCTGCCTTTACCCCTGCAATGCTGAATTATTGTGTTCCTACTTCCTGGTAATGATCAAAGTGTCCCAAGGGGTCTTAAGCAGGTTCTCAAGAGGCCCCCCCCAAAAAAACTGGAAAGTCTGGACGCATCAGGAGCTTGAATGTCAGAGCTGTGGTGTGGTGGCTCATGGCGGTCTTCAGTTTGGTGGCGTGATAAAGAGATCCAGCATAGCGCTCTGTGGTACCACCGAGGCGACAAAGGAGCAGGACGGAAGACGCCTGGAGAGCTTTCGGTGATGAGAAAACGCTTCCTCCTCCCTCCGGACGAATAAGTGCGGGACTGAAATCCTCACGAAGCTTCGATCCCCTGGCTGGTCACTTGCTCCACCACGGCAGCCTTCTGCCTCCTTGCCGAGGGCACTGACCGTGTCAGAGGGGGCGTGCACCATTGCAGTGGGGTGTGTGTTCACCGCTGCTGCTTCCTCTCCACGAAAGCTTTAGCAATGATTCAACTGTGATAAAATGATGAGATGCATTGATGTTTTTATTTCCTCTTCTCCTCTTCCCTGCTCCCTCTTCCCCCGAGAAGCCCCGTTGCTTCCGCCCTTAACTAGCTCTGAATGGCTACTCTCACCCTTGTTGTCTCCTTACGTCCTGGCAAAGAAGGCCCCACACAGTAGCTAACAGGTAACGTGAGTTTTGATTTTCCCTGCTGCCGGCTGCTCTGGTTCTAACGGCTCCCCCCTTTCTTCCGCCCCCTTCTCTTTCGTTCTTTTGCAGAGGTTCAGTTCCGTCCTTACCGAACAGATGACTTCATCACACGCCTCTATTACGAAACTCCGAGGTTCACGGTGCTGAACCAGACCTGGGTGCTGAAGGCCCGGGTGAACGACTCGGAGCGCAACCCCAACCTCTCGTGTAAGCGGACCCTGTCCTTCCAGCTGATCCTCAAGAGCAAGATCAACTCCCCCATGGAGTGCTCGTTCCTGCTGCTCAAGGGTCCTTACGACGACGTGAAAATCAACCCCGTGATCTATCACTTTGTCTTTACCAACGAGAACAACGAGACAGACTACGTGCCGCTCCCCATCATAGACTCCGTGGAATGTAATAAATTGCTGGCAGCCAAGAACATCAACCTGCGTCTCTTTATATTCCAGATACAGAAGTAAGCATAGCAAAAGCTCAGACCTTTCAGGAGTGACCGAGAGAGAGCGAGAGAGAGAGAGAGAGCGCACCACTGAACCAGAGTTACCTCGTACGGCTGCCTCGGCCCCCTTTTCGTGAATCCACAATTATCCGATTATTTTTAAAGAGAACGTTTTCTGCATGTGTGGTGTACCAGCGGCCCTGAGCGGTCGCTGCCTTGTGTCTCCATCGAGCAGGGAACCAGCTTGACTCAGGGCACCGTGGAGGCCCCGAGTGTGTCAGGAGGGAAAGCAACACTGGTTAATACATTGTGAAAAAAGGCTGCATTTGTGTCATGGTCGTGTGTGTGATCTCCGACAGAATATTGTCAGCATGGTTGGGGGTAAGATTTCCTGTCGTGCCTCAGTGGGTAACATTCTGTTTCCAAAGTAGCGGGTGTTACTGGGTAGGTCTTAAGGTTCATTTTATTATTGGGATAAAGCAAATGTGGGCTTCTTCAGTAGACACCTTCAGGGACCCCCAAGCAAAGGGGGCTGCTTCCAGTTGGGCTGAAATATGCCACATTCCAAGAGTAGGAACTTTACGGAGAGGGAGGAAGACACGTCCCAAGCGCTTCACGGCACGAGCGCGTTAACAAGGCCCTGCCGCCGTCCAAATAATTCCCCCTCCCAGCTTTCTGTCGCCGCTGCATACTGATGCACTTAACGTGCGGAAGCAGGTGATAGGAAGTGGGAATGATGGAAGGTTAATAACAACGATTGCTAATCTTTCCTTCCTGCTGGTCTCTCTAAAACGCTGCGCCCTCAACACTGCTTGTATCGCAATTCACAAAATGCGGGCCCAGATCCCTCCCCCCCACACACACACTCTGGTCCTCGATTTTGCCCTTTGTCATCCTGCTCTCCCCGTCCCCTGCCTCCACCAACCAGCGTGTGAGATGCGACAGACTTAAGGGACCTCTCTAGAACTGACCCAATCGAGTGCAGACTTCTCGGAATGCAGGGTGATAATTCTGTCTGTCTTGGGAGCTTTCCCGATACTTTGAAAATCCTTCCTCCCCCCCCCCTCCCTTGTGCAAATGCGTTAACAGGCTCTTATAGTAATTATGCAATTTTACAATGTGATTTTATGTATGTAAAGTATATATAGCAGGTTTATGGATGGGGATTGTGTGGGGCCATTCACCAAATTTCAATGAGATCTACAGGGATATTTTGCTCCATGCTCTTAAAAGTATTTTAAACTGTGGGGGAGTTGGTGGTCGATGAACTCTATATCATGGAAACTTGTATGTTAAGATTTTGCATTCAAGGTGATTTTTCTTCCTCTCTCCCCCCCCCCCCCCCGCTTTTTTAAAAAGGAAGCTACATTTGGCAGTTAACACTTTGTATGGACTAACTGGATCAGGTGTGTGTTTTCTGTACAGATCTTTCGAGAACCTGTTGCATGTGCTGCCTTGACCGGGACTTGTGCCATTAATGGTAAATGAAAACAGTTTCTGCTCCCCCTAGCTTTCATATCTCTCCCCCCCCTTCCCTTCAAGACCCCCATAATCACCAGGTGTGGTCAGGAAGCGGTTGTAGTCCACCCCTTGCGGACAAGCCCTGCATGACTTGTCATCTGTCGAGTCGGGGTGTTCTGCCGGGGGTCTCGGTGGAGACGTCCCTGCTTGGGTGGTCTCAGGGCAGCACGACTGTCTGGTGGTCCACCCTCCCTGGCTGGGGGGGGGGGCTGGCTGGATGCTGGTGGCTGGGGACTTGTTCCCAAGAGAGCAAATGGGGTTGTCTCGGCTGTTGTCATCCTCTTGGGTTCTGCAGAGGGCTCAGCTTCGGCAACCAACCTTCAAGCCCTTCCAGATACCTCGGAAACTCGGGGATGCGGTTGCTGCTCTTGGAAGCAGGATAAATGGGTTGTTCCGGGGTGTGTGGGTCAGAACCGCCCTGTGTTCCAGAGTCGCCATTTCCTAGCCTGCCGTGACTCTTCCTTCAGAAATGACCGGGGGGGGGGTGTTTGTCCCCTCGGTCAGTGTCGACAGGGCCGTAGTTCAGGTTTGGCGGTCTAGACGCGGCTGGTTATTGTACCAGGGTTGTTGAGGCCACAAGTAAGTGTACCGTCTGACCGTCCCACACAGTGGGTGTCCTTAGTCACTGTGACTGGAGCAAGGACTCGTTCTCGAGGCACCACGAAGACAGGCTGTCCCTCCTTGTAGAAGGCACTACCTCGTAACGTGCGGCTTACGGGAGAGGTCTTCAGATGGGGGCTCTGGAGGGCAGCACATGGTCACAGAGCAAGAACGGCTGGGCCCCCGTGCCCCTTCGTGCATGTGGCGATCTGCCGCCTTTATATTTGGGAACTCAAACTAGAGCCGACTTTGGCTTTCGTGTTTGGAACCAAGGTGTGTGCCATCCCCAGGGTGAAGGTCAGATGTGCACACTGGGGGGGGGGACGACCCTTGCAGGCCGTTGCAACGTGGGTAGGTGGGAGAGCGCTCTTTCCGGAGGTGCAAGAGCTGGCTGCACAGCCGTACTAGAATCTCACTTTGGCCTTAAATCAGAGCACATCTGGCTGTGGCCAGGCACCTGTAGATTGGACCCCAGAAGGACCCTCCCGTGTTTCTGCATCGTACAAACCAAACATCTCTCTTTAGCGTGCGTGGACAGATGACGCCGAGGCTAGCCGTCGGCCAGGCTCTGCGTGAAAGTTCCGAGAACTCTCTTCAGAGTTCACCTGCCCTTTGCGTAAGAGTGGCTGAGGGCGTATGGGTAAAAGGGAAGCTGCCGGGCCTCGTTGGACTGCCTTTACCTGCTGCTGGTCTAGGGAGGGCTGCTAAAAAGCTCTGCCCCTGCCCCAGTGCAGCTGGGGAAGGCCTCTTGATCCCAGACCCCAAAACTACGTTCCCTGGGAGCGAGCAGAGTTCCCCGGATGCCCGCATGGAGGCCCCCACCGATGTTTGTATGAGCATCTCGGGGCATGTGTCCCGTGGTGCTGACGGTGCTGATACTGGGCTGCTTAATCAAAGGAAGGTGTTTTCAGCCAAGCCCCAGCTGCTGTCTTGCTCACAGATGGTGTGGGTGGACATGCATGCTGCTCCCTCCTGTTCCGGGGACTGCGTCGTGTGCAGAGGTTGCTAGAGCCAGCATTGCGGCCTCCGGGCCTGCAGCTCCCTCTTGAACAAACTGGGTGGAAGGGGAGAAGACAGACCCTCTCCTGCCTTAGCAGGGGGCGAGTGGTTTCCAAGGAACCAGGACTCCTACTAGATGAACACCAGTGGCAAGGGGTGTGGGGGGGTGCCCTCCTGTCAGTTTTGGAAGAGTTTGTTCCTGTGGCATCAAAACACGGTGAGCAGAGCTGAACTCTGTGTGAGGTTCTGGCTGGGGAAGATACCTTAGTATTTTTAACTCTGTCCTAGAGCCGACCGATTGGGCATGCTTGATGCTAACGGTTCCCTCCCCCTCCCCCTCCCTCTAAAACAGCCGCCTACCGTTCCGTCCTGCCTAGAAACACCCCAGGAAGCCGGGCTGTTGGTGCCCCGTAGCAGTTGCTGTAGGGTTTCTCATCTGAAACGGAAGGGCCTTGGCCGAAGACCAGCTTCCTCATGGCAAAATAGTCTTTGCACCAGTTGGGGAGTTAATGAAGGGTTCCCTATGTGTGTGTGTGGGGGGGTAGGCCTGGCTGGATTCTGAGGCAGCTGTTGGTCTGGCTCCAAAAGCAGGATGCATCTCAGCTGCTTGCTTTGTATCCGTGTGTGTGGGGGGGATCCTGCAGGCTTTGTCTGAAGAGCCTCAAGTTATAAAACTCGCATGCCCAGCGCAGATGTGCAACTCCTCTTCCCCCTCCCAAAGGCTAGCTGCCCCGGCTTCTCATGCATGTTTTGTGGAAGAGGGCAACTTGTTGGATGGCCCCTGGAGTTGAGAGCCGGGAGGACAGCGCTTTCAAACCGCACGGCCTAGAGCTACGGTGCCGGGTGGGCAACGCGGCACACGGCAGCCAGTTGAGATCTCCATGCCGTGGAGGGGTCGGGTGGGTTTTTCCTGCCCTACAGCGGCTGCACGCGCTTCTCCCCTTGCACAGACTAGGCTGCCGCTAGCAGAGGAGGAGAGTGGGGCTTTGTCCCAGTGCCAGGCCTCGCAGCTGGTGCTTGTCCTCTGAAAGGCACCGACTGGCAGCATCCGTGATGACCTTCTGAATGGGAGAAGGCACTTCGTCATTCCCTGGTTGGCTGGAGGCACGATTATAGCTTGCCCAGTTCTTCCCACGTGAAGTGTGTGTGTGTGTGTGAGAGAGAGAGATGTCCTTTGTCCTGGCAAAGGGACTGGAGTGGGCTATTTGGTCCCCCGTGGGTGCCGTTCGGGCCCCGTCTCATCTCCGTCTTAAAGCCGAGTGACTCTGTCCCCGGAAGCCGCTGTCTCCAGTGCTCATTCTAAATAGAATAGGAGAACAGCCGTGGTCCCTTTGCAAGTGGCAATGGCAGAGCTGGCTCAGGGGGTCCCCGTGCCGGAAGAGCAGCCTGCCGTCTCGGATCAGATCGCCCCCCGGTACGCCCTGGCGCCCGACCTGCCGCCGCCGCCATTCTGCTTCTCCACTTCCGTCCCCTCCTCTCCTTCCCCGTGGGATTCTGTACCCCCCAACTCCTCCTCGGTAGCTGAGCCTTACCTGTGTCTAGTCCTGTGCTAGGCGCCTAAAAGATTGTAGCATGCTTTCTCCGTGCCGGGGCCTGCTGGTGGCTGGCAGACCACGAAACTCCTTACAGTATTCACTGTGGGTAATTTATTGAACTAGCGAATGTAGGACTTAAAGAGAAAAAAAGTAATTTAAAGAAGAGAAACACGAAGGGTTTCGTTTGCGAGGTGGTTATGTCCTTTGTACTTGGCCGGATTTTTTTCATTGTTTGTGTTCCTGTTCCTTTCTGTTGAGGAGAGGGGCTCTCGGGTGGACCCTGGACTCCAGCTTGGAAGCTCCTGCAAGGGAAGAGAGGAAGACGGGAGTGGCCGGGTGGGGTTCGGTCTCCCGACACTTTGACACCATGGGATTGCTGCCTGCAGTGCCGCGCCCCCCCCCCACTCCCGCAGGCCAGCTAGGGAGACTTGGGGCAACGACTACCCGGGTGGGGGGGGGGGGGGCCGCGGGCAGCAGCATTGCTGGGGGACCCGTCCTGAGCTTCTGCCGTCCCGCTTGTCTCCCCCCCCCCCACTTCTGTGAGCACTAAACATATACCTAAATGGCTTTTTAACATGAGGAATGGTTTTAATGTTGTTGGGAATGATTTCCTTTGTTCCTTTTGTGGTCTGCGTTCGTTTGAAGTTTCTGTATGTAAAGTAGTTTAAAGAAAATTGCGAAACCACTCTCGTCTCTGTGTGTGTGTGTGTGCGTGCGTACTTGACCAAGACTCTATTCCTTTCCAGAGCGCTGGCGGACGCGAGGAACCATAGAGAGGAAGGCAGTGGGCTCTTTCTCTGTTCAGACCCTCGTCTGCTGTGGCTTCCTGTGTGACAGAAGTGCAGTTGCAGGAAATGAGCGAGGAGAGAATAGGATTAGGTGAGGCCCTGTTCCTTCCCCCCCCCCCAGGCATTCCAGCACTGAGCCAGTAGACACAGCAGGCACAGTAGACTGATTTCGCCATTATTGAATCATAGAACAGAATCGTAGAATGTTAGAGTTGGAAGGGACCTTGCAGGTCATCTAGTCCAACCCTCTGCAGGAGCATAGCCGAAAGATAGCCCTAACAACATCCCCGAAAGATGGTCGTCCAGCCTCCGCTTGAAAGCGTCCAGCGAAGGAGCATCCACCACCTCCCGAGGCAGTCTGTTCCACTGCTCAACCACTCTGAGAGTTAGGAAGTTTCTCCTGATATTTAGCCGGTAACGACTCCCTTGTAATTTCCACCCATTAGATCTAGTCTTGCAATCCGGAGCAAGAGAGAAGAGATCTGCTCCATCTTCTACATGACTACCACCTCCTCCTGGGGCTCCTCCTGGGGCAGCAGGAGAGGAGGAGTTTGGATTTATACCCCGCCCTTCACTCGGAGTCTCAGAGCGGCTTACTCCTTTCCCTTCCCCACAACAGACACCTGTGAGGTCAGTGGGGCTGAGAGAGCTCTGAGAGAAACTGCTCTTTTTCAAGGACAGCTCTGACAGAACTATGGCTTGCCCAAGGTCATCCAGCAGCTGCAAGTGGAGGAGTGGGGAATCAAACCCGGTTCTCCCAGATTAGAGTCCACACACTTAACTACGACACCAAACTGGCTCTCACACCAAACTGAGGGAAAGAAAGAGAAGGTTGAGAAGGTTGCTTTTGGATGGTCTGTCTGGTTTTTAGCCCACCTACCCTCCAAGGGGATTGGG